CAGTAGGGAGCCCAATGTGTGTTGGCTGAGAGAGACTGGAATGGTCAGGAATGGTCAAGTTGATGGAGCCTACAAGTCTGGAGCACATACTTCAGTCCAGATACCTGATATTCGTCCTTTTAAGTCAATTACACAGAAGAGACTTGACCTCAAATTCTAAGATGAAGGAACTCTCTCCCCCTCCCTCCTTCTGTCTGTCTGTCTGTATGTCTGTTTTTCATGCAGACACACACAAGACTCAATTCCTAGGGTTTTATGAGCAAATGAATTATGAATTAAGATATGAGATGGCACATTTTTTTCCTTATATCCTTAAGATAATATTTTAGACATAGTCTAAAGCTGGAATTTGCGCTGGGGCATTGGTGGCTCACATTTATAATCCAGTTACTCAAGAGGCTGAGATATGAAGGATCGCAGTTTGAGGCCAGCCTGGGCAGAAAAAGTTGGCTAGACTCCATCATCAAATAACCAGCAAAAAAGAAGAGATGGAGGTATAGCTCAAGTAGTATAGTTCCATCCTAGGAAGCTAGCAAGCACATGGGCCTGAGATCAAACCCTATTATTATATTTAAAAAAATCGGTGATGAGAATTTGGTCATAAAGCACATACTCCTCTTTTGGGAGAGTAGGGTAAAGCTGTAAAAACTATCAATGTGCTAATAATTATGGAGAATAGAGTTTCACTAGAAAGAAAAATAAAAATGTTGGAGGCATGGCACAAATGGTAGAAAGCCTGCTTAGTGAGGCTGAATTCAAAGCCCAGTACTGCCAAAAAAAAGGAAAAGAGAAAGAGAAAAATAAAGAGAAAGACAAAGGGCTGGGGATGTGGCTTAGTGGTAGAGTGCTTGCCTAACATGCACGAACCCCTGGGTTCAATTCCTCAGTACCACATATACAGAAAAGGCTGGAAGTGGTGCTGTGGCTCAAGTGGTAGAGCGCTAGCCTTGAGCATAGAGAGGTTTAGGGACAGAGCACAGGCTGAGTCCAAGCCCCAGGACCAGCAAAAAAAAAAAAAGCAAAAACAAAACAGGTTGGCGCTAGTGGCTCATGCCTGAAATCCTAGCTACTCAGGAGGCTGAGATCAGAGGACGGTGGTTCAAAGCAAGGCAAAGCAGGAAAGTCTGTGAAACTCCTATATCCAATAAACCACCAAAAAACTGGAAGTGGCACTGTGGCTCAAGTGGTAGACCACTTGCCTTGAGCTGAAGAGTTGTGGGACAGTGCCCAGGCCGAGGGAGGGAGGGAGGGAGGGAGGGGAGAAGGGGAGAGAGAGAGAGAGAGAGATTGAGTCTGTATATCTGTTTGGCCAAGTGCAGAAAAACATGTCCAAAATGGTTTTCTCATACAGACAAGATGTGCTGTTATGTGAGACTCTTTTTTTGTGTGTGTTGGTCATGGGGCTTGAACTCTGGGCCTGGGCACTGTCCTGAGCTCTTCAGCTCAAGGTGAGCACTCTACCACTTGAGCCACAGTGCCACTTTTGTGCTGCTGTATGGACCCAAGGGCAAGAACATTTGCGACAATCCCTTTGTGGCTGGACAGCTAAACAGAGCAAAACAAATATGTGCCCACTGTACTCCCTCTGAAAATACCACAGACATGCGGCAGAGATTAACAGAAAAGGAATCACATGGATAAATCCCAGGGAAGGACAGTGGATGCTGAAAAGTCAATATGCAAATAGTCATCTACTTGCTGAGCAGAGAAAGCTGCTGGAAGGAAGGCAGCAGGCCTGCTTACTGGGTAGACGCTCAGAAAGGCCCTGCAACAAGAGGTAGCAGCAGGCACATCTGAAGGTCAGCTAGGCTCCATATAAGAGGTATGGAGAGACAACTAACGCATGTCATGAAGCAGAGGCAGATGGTTTGCTATGTGGGGCTGAGCCATGACTGGTAGAGTTGAGACTGGGATGTGTTACCATACAAAAGCCACAGGGGTCAGGGATAGACTATATATTGACTGTGACAAGTCAGGCCTTTCTGCTATTTAGCTATTGAGTCTCTGGTCTAAAGGGCCTCTTCCCAACATGCAGTGGTCAAGTACCCTTTCAGTATAGAGCCTCATTAGTGCAGAAGGATGAGTAAGGGGCATCTGCAACATGAAAACAGCCAAGTCCAAAGATCCTTTTCTGGCAGAGAGAGTGAGGCTTGAATGTAGAGCCTTGTGCATGCTATGTAAGTAGTGCACTATCACTTGAGGCAGGCCTCCAGTCACCCAAACAAAGATTCTGAGCAAACTGCACAGAAGAGTATCTGGAGAAAATCAGACTTTTTCTCTTCATGAAACTGTAAGAGCCTACATCTACAGAACAAGAATAAGAATGCTGGAATAGCCGGGTGCCTATGGTTCATGTCTATAATCCTAGCTACTCAGGAAGCTGAGATCTGAGGATCACAGTTCAAAGCCACCCTGGGCAAGAAAGTCCAGGAGACTCTTATCTCTAATAAACCACTCAGAAAACCAGAAGTAGCACTGTGGCTCAAGAGATAGAGTGCTTGCCTTGAGCTGAAGAGCTGAGGGACAGCGCCCAGGCCCAGAGTTCAGGCCCCACAACCAACCAAAAA